AAAAACAGAAATGGCAAGTGACGTCAGTGTAAATAAAAAGCCAAAACAAATTGGTTAGTTAGGTCAAAAAAGTCAATATGAGAGTCATTATGCACTTATGCATAAGTGATGACTGAACATGTTAAGTGCTGCTGAGGGCGATGTATTCCACATTATTCCACTCTCCATCTGAACTTCTCCTAAGCTATTTATCTATTTATTTATTTGAATAAAAGGGATCTCAATAATTATTTCACAATTTTAGCCAAAGCAATTCAAGACTTCAGAGTCCGAAAGAGCAGTTAGCTTCAGTTTAAATTGAAGGACTAACTGTATTTACTTTTTTTTTTTTTTTTGTAATCCCAACAAATCACTTATTGATGAAACTTAACATTCATAAATCTAATTATGAGTCAGCATGCTGGATATATCTGTCATTTGTTTGCTTTATATTGTGTTTTGTTTCTATATTTATCAAGCTATCAGTGCTTTACTGATAATTACTGGCTAAACAAACTGTAAAGGAAAAGCTCAACTAACATATTTGTATATCAAGGTGCTTGGGGGATTTTTAAAAAGTCTGGACTGGCTGGTTTTGAAAGTTTATTGTATTATTGTATATAATTGAAGGCACTTGCTGAGGCGTTTACTGGCACATCTGCTTCACAACCTTCATAATAATGCTAATAATGTCTGTCTGCTTAACTCTCATTAGCAGCAACATGTAATAGTTGTAGATATTTTCTTGTAGATGTAAACCATGGAAACAACAGAGCTTCTTCTGTGATTATTCAGTCATAGCCTACAGTAAATTACCATGCCAACTCATGCAGCAGTGTAGCTTTGGTTAACATGAATGTAAAGCAAGTCCGTGTGATCTGCAGTGTACAGAACAAAGTGATATTATGCCATTTATTACAATCTAAGGTCATGGGCTCAACATGGTCCAAAGTCTTAGTTTGTAATATGATGTTAAATGAAGTGGTTAATATAAAAAAGGAGAACTGTAATTTAATGAATGTTTAAAACGAATGTTTATCAGTGTGTTATGAATAGAATGTGAATTAGGGGGATTTTATTCCTCAAAACACAGGAACAAAGTTGTTGATCAAAATTTTGTTGGTTCTGTGAGGCAATGTTAGAAAAGGGCTTCTAAACTCTGCCGTTGGTTTATATGTTTTTGCGCAATAGACTACTATTTATTACAAATATGAAATTGTTCTGATTCTAGATATCTGATATCTAGATCAATGAAACTTGAAAAGATGGTCTCAAACCAGAAAAGGAAAAATTGTGTACAGATATTAAGATGGGCAAGCTGAAAATAAATTATTTTAGTGAAAACATTGCTCGTTCTCTGAGCTTATTTGCATGAAGTATGTTTTCTTACTCTTAACTTATTCATTATAAACCATTGTATTAGAGGAAGAATGTTTTCAGTAAATTTGTAGTTTACATAAATTTCAGTGCCTGAAATGAAGTCACTACATTTATTTTTTTCATGTATAATTATTTTACACACATAATTCTTAATTTAAAACACATTGAATATTTGTACTTTAAGTGAACTATATTTACAACACTTACAAGAACATTTATTTAAAATAGTGACTTTTTTGTTAAAAAAGCGTAATATTGTGAAATGTTATTATAATTTAAACTGATTTGCTGCTCAAGAAATACTTATTATTATTAATGGTGAATATTAAGCAGTTGTGCTGCTTAATATTGTGCAATATTGTGATTTGTGGTAACAGTGACATTGGTAGTTATTTTAACCCGCAATCTTAATGTTCATGGACATGTCACGAGTTAATTTCCCAAAAATATTTTTGAATGCTTTCTTCAGTCCATTAGGTTACAGAATCTTAAATCCAGAAATTAGACCTTCACCTAAACTCTCATATGAGAAATGTTTAATTTGATGACAGAATGATTCATCCACTATACCGGAAAAAACAGCACTTCCTTGATTGTTCTGTTTCCAACTCGTTAAATTTATTGAGTGTCTGAGTCACAGTTTTGTCATTAGTGGTCAGCTCTTAGTTTGGGCACAGGGCTGAATATTTCTCTCATTGATTGCTGCTGTGAGCTCAGCAGTCAGTGATGCTGTTACCACTGCGACTGAACTGTCTGTAGCACTTTGCTGAGCTTTGTTATTGGCTGCACTGCTTCCTTTGCTGCTCACGCAGCCAAAACGACACTAATGCTAACATATATGTCTGCCTAAAGAGCTTTTACCATTTAGTTAGGATTATTTAGGCATATTGCGTTTAAGATAAAGATTTCACGTCACAGCTCGGAAGGATTTGCATGCTTGCATTAGCCACATCCATAAACGAATCCAGCATATTCCCTTGAAAGTTGTCTGTGGCTTGTTTAACTGTGCAGATCATGCTTTATGCAAGCAGAATGCTTCAATGCATCACTTCTGAGATGATGGTGGCCTGTTCTAAAGCATAGGCTACACCCATTTTTTGTGCCTCTCCTCCTTTCTTACAGTTAAAATCCCAGGCCTGTGAGGGAAGTGTAGCTACATTATGCTCAACCACCGCAGTGCTGTCCCGTTAACGTTAGCGCGAGGGGAGGGAGGGGTGTGTGTGTGTGTGTGTGTGTGTGTGTGTGAGAGAGAGAGAGAGAGAATCACTGAAAGTGTTCGTGACCACTCTCTCTCTGTCTCATCCCCTCCCCTTCTCTCTCACTCAGGCATACATACACTTTCATGCAGAGACGGGAGGACTATTATTTTTTTCCGCCCAGGTCGTTTTAAACCGTTCTAGAGAAGCGTTTATCATGCTAATATCTTTTTGGTTTACTGCTATTTCAACAGCCTAACAAAAGTTGAAGCCTGTCATTTTAATTAAATCGTCACTTGACTGCGTATATATATATATAATGATGGTGGCCTGTTCTAAAGCATAGGCTACACCCATTTTTTGTGCCTCTCCTCCTTTCTTACAGTTAAAATCCCAGGCCTGTGAGGGAAGTGTAGCTACATTATGCTCAACCACCGCAGTGCTGTCCCGTTAACGTTAGCGCGAGGGGAGGGAGGGGTGTGTGTGTGTGTGTGTGTGTGTGTGTGTGTGAGAGAGAGAGAGAGAGAATCACTGAAAGTGTTCGTGATCACTCTCTCTCTCTCTCATCCCCTCCCCTTCTCTCTCACTCAGGCATACATACACTTTCACGCAGAGACGGGAGGACTATTTTTTTCCGCCCAGGTCGTTTTAAACCGTTCTAGAGAAGCGTTTATCATGCTAATGTCTCTTTGGTTTACTGCTATTTCAACAGCCTAACAAAAGTTGAAGCCTGTCATTTTAATTAAGTCGTCACTTGACTGCGTATATCTATTTTTTTTTTTTCCAATACATGCTCTCAGGAGGATATATAGTCGCATCCAGTTTGAAAAACTGAAGGAAGCTCTTCATTCGGAAGACTGGATTTGTGTTTCGAGGCTTTAGTCGCCTGAGGCGCTTTCGGTAATGCAGCACTTTTTGTGATGACGCGGTCTAGACATCGCTTCATGCTTTCATCATCAGGGGAATATTATATACTGCAATGATGTTTATTATGAGAAATTTAGTTTTTTTTCCCCTTGTGTATGTTTTTTATCGTCAATATAAGAAGTTTGGCTTTTGACTACTAATCCTCTCTCTCTTCATCTATCTATCTCTCTCTCTCTCTCTCTGCATCCTTGGTGACGATTTTCCCCTTGTGTATGTTTTTTATCGTCAATATAAGAAGTTTGGCTTTTGACTACTAATCCTCTCTCTCTTCATCTATCTATCTCTCTCTCTCTCTCTCTCTGCATCCTTGGTGACGACAGTCTGTTTTATTAAGCACCTGCCAGCAAAATGTGAGTACAATACATTTCCACTATTTCAAACAAAATGCTAGTGTAAAGCAAAATCTCTTATTCATTCAGTATGTATTGGGGTTTTATTTTTAAACCACTTTTTATGCCTGAGATGTATTGCTATACCAGTTGGGTTATTAAAACGCAATTTATTGTGATCTCTGTATTATATTTAGCAAATGCCTAAGGTTCTTTGCTAGAGAGTTCGTTAACAGCACCGCAAAATCTCTCAGGTTTTACGATGATACATCAAAAATTGCGTAGACTTTAGTGCCCTGCTCCATCTGTCGGAATTTAGGGGAAACTGCATCGAGAGACGTATTTAAATCATGGTCCTAATACATACACAAAATGTACCTGCATTTAATTCGATGCCCTTCAGTAATCTATGTATTGGGGTTTTATTTTTAAACCACTTTTTATGCCTGAGATGTATTGCTATACCAGTTGGGTTATTAAAACGCAATTTATTGTGATCTCTGTATTATATTTAGCAAATGCCTAAGGTTCTTTGCTAGAGAGTTCGTTAACAGCACCGCAAAATCTCTCAGGTTTTACGATGATACATCAAAAATTGCGTAGACTTTAGTGCCCTGCTCCATCTATCGGAATTTAGGGGAAACTGCATCGAGAGACGTATTTAAATCATGGTCCTAGTACATACACAAAATTTACCTGCATTTAATTCGATGCCCTTCAGTAATTTTCGCGACACATGCCGTTAATGCTCGTCTCGCACAACCCAGATTGACTTTTGGCGCCCACATGACACAGCAGCATCAATGATCGGCAATGCGTTTTAAACAAAACACATAAGTTCTTTATTATTGTGTTTTGTCTATCTAAAGCAGGGGTGGGCAAACTTGGCCCTTCCAGGCCACTTTCCTTCAGAGGTTAGCTCCAACCCTAATCAAACACACCTGAACCAGCTAATCATTGTCTTCAAGACTACTAACGTTAGAAGGCTGCAGGCAGGTGAGTCATATCAGGGTTGAATCTCTGCAGGAAAGTGGCCTGGAAGGGCCAAGTTTGCCCATCACTGGTCTAAAGACTTTACTAAAATGTTTGAAAACAAAACACAGTTTATTTTTATTTTATTTTATTATTATTATTAATTTATTTATTTATTTATTTTCGAGTAAAACTAGACCTTTTTGTTTTGATTTTCGGGAGCCTCAGAACGCCTCACACTTTTTAATTTGCACACTTGCACCTGTAAACGTAATTTAATGTGATGTAAGGTAAGTGTGTATAATTAAAGAAAACTAAGCTTTTATGGCAAATTTCCTTTACAATGTCTTATTTTAATGAGCTTTAATTGCACCATGGCCTGAATTGAGGCCCAATTCTAATTTATTTATTCATACATTGTTGTGCTTTGATCCTAGGAATTTAATGTAAAATTATTATAATGTAATATTTGTTTAGAGGGGTTGAACATTCTCATGTGTCTGATTGAGCCTACGCCGAGCCAGTGGTGCAGAGGAAACCTCAAAGTCTTCCCAACCCCTGTCCCTTATTCCCTCAGGTCTGCCCCAGATGCCAATGCAAGCCCTGGAGCTCCAGAGGGTGAAGGGGGCCCACCCGCCCCACCAAACCTCTCCAGCAACCGTCGTCTCCAGCAGACACAGGCCCAAGTGGATGAGGTAAACCCTACCGATATGAACTGAAATACTATGCTGGAAAACAAGCTGGACTAGGTGAATCATGACTTTAAAAAAAACATTAATATGTAGAAATAAAAAACAGGTTATTATGAATAAAATTTAGGGAGAAGATGTACATTGAACTTTGAGTGCAGGCATATGGTTCAAGGAAAGCTACTAAATACTGCACTTTTTCAAGTTTATATTCTGTTCTGATCAGTATATTTGTATGGCTTTTAATATATTGGTTGTGACATATATTAGTAAAAATGTTAATTATAACAGTGAGGAAGTAAGTAAGATTAAAGGGGCAGATTAAAATTTATCAAAGATAGATGGACTCTTAGATGGACTTTCTTGGAACCATAAAATTTTCATGCAGTCAAATTTTGAGGTACTAGTCAGTCTCTCATGCAATATTCATCCTAATATTGCTTCCACTGTTAAGTGTCTATGAGGATATTCTGTAATTTCTATTAAAAATTGTCTTTCAGTTTCACATTGAATCTTACTGATGCAATGCAATGATGATGTTATGTTGCTGATTTCTTAGATGCTAAGTTGCTGTGTCTATATTTTGCATACGTGTTCAGGTGGTTGATATCATGCGTGTGAATGTGGACAAGGTTCTGGAAAGAGATCAGAAGCTATCAGAACTGGATGACCGGGCAGACGCGCTGCAGGCCGGAGCATCGCAGTTTGAGAGCAGCGCTGCTAAACTGAAAAACAAGTACTGGTGGAAGAATATGAAGGTGCGATTTGACTGTAGATGCTGGATTGGGTTTATTTACATCTAGAGTCCTTGTTCTCAGGTCCTATTTTATTTCAATTACTTTACGATACATATTTAAATTCACTGTTCAAATGAAATCACTGAATACAAATACACATCTCACCTAATTCAAGAAATGTATTTGTAGCCTAATGTAAATCAGCTGTAAAACCATTGTTATGTAAACTGTCACATTCACTTTACATTTACATAAGAATAGTTTTATGAAGGACACCTTTTGGCTTTAGATTTTGTAGTTCACTTATAAAAAAATCTAAATGATTATATTAGTCTCAATATAGATAGATAATTAGTATAGATAATTGTTAAATATATAAATTAATACAATGAATACACTGAAAAAAAAAAATGGTGTATAAACATTTTTCACAAAAATTGCTAGTAAGTTTCACAATTGATTACAAAGAATTGGCAAGTGACATTGAATTAAACATCATAGCATTTTCTTATTAAACGAACTCTAATAAACTTTAAATTCCAACTTTGAAAAATCATTTTCTACAGTATAGTGCTTCCTTCGGTGTTTCTATATTGCCAGCAGTAAAGATGGCTCATGGGGCAAAGCTGACTCAACACTAAAGCAGAAGCATTCTCATTTGGATATAACCTGAATGCAGTCCGGCCCATAAGTCACAGCGCTGGCAGGCGAGCGTTTGAGATATATTAGGCAAGTTGCAGTTGTGACGTAAGCTGCAGAGTGAGTCCAGCCACTCCTGAGACGTGCGGACGATCACAACCATCGGACGGTTACCATCTCGTTTCATTTTTTTACTTTCTAATTGCCCAAATAATTCCATTGATCATCTATTAATAGAAGGGACTTTTTAGAGCATGCATGGCATGGATACAAATACACAGTTCATTTAAATAGTTTTAAATAATAAATGAGGAATTCATATATAATTTAATTTATTCCTTTTTTCTTAGTAAGAAAATGTCTTGCATTGAAAGAAGAGGCACTTGAGATGTGTTGTGAACATCTTGTACTGCATTGGTCCATCTGACAGCCTCACTTTACATACTACATTTTTATCTCTCCATCCAGCTATCTGTCAATCCATCCGCTCGGTGTAGATTTATAAGCTCCCCCTCATTCTCCTCCCCTCCAGACAGCATAAATGTATTAGTCCCTCACCAACCCCCAACCGCCCGCCCCAGATGGCCGAACAGCTGCCCGTCCAATCGCATCTCTGAGCGGGAGTTGGGGGAGGGGGCTTCTAGTCCCAATCTGGATTACAGCATTTCTGTATTAAAACCCAGCTGTGATTTGTGGATGTAACCCGCCCTTTGCTATCGCTCTCTCTCTCTCTTTTGCTCCTCATGCCTCATTCCCTTTTCCGTATCTCTTTCTTATTCCGTATCCACAGATCCTCCTTCTTTTATTGAAACGTCCCACTTTTAATCTCTCTCATTCTGTCCTGTTTTATTCTCTTTCCTTTTTGCATTTCTTTACTCTTACTGCTGGCTTTCTTTTTGGAACTTTACTCTGTATTTTTCAGTGAAGTGTATACTTGTGAGAGAAATATTGACGCTTCATGCAGCCACATTCCTGTGGGTCGATTTTTGTCTTCATTTTAGATAGTCCTGCGGTGTGACAAATGAAAAGTGAAAAATATAAATATTCCATGTACTTAATATGAGATCTATTAGCAGTTAAGTAGTTGTAGTTCATGCAATCTTATTTCTCAAACAGAATTGACTCATTAGCTTTGTTTATGGATTTCTTTTTCTTTCACAGATGATGATAATGATGGGAATTATTGGGGTCATCTTGATGGGCATCGTTTTCAGTGAGTAGAAACTTGTTTTATTTTACAAACACTAGTCAGTGTTGGTTGATTTACTTGTAAATCAGACTTTAAAAACAGAATGTTTTTTCGTATTTAGTTTTACTCCACCGTAGGATGTTTTGCCACCTTGCCACAATGAATTTTAGGCGTATAAAGGCTAACATGTAATGATATAGTTAAGAAAAACAAATCTTGTGTTGCAGCTGCAACTTAAATTCTAATCAAAGATCAGCTGCTCTTACAAAGATAAGCTAAGGCCTAGTTAGTATATGCATCAAATATAAAAGCTCAATTTAATCCTGAATCAGCATGGACTAATCAATTGCAATGATTTATTTCTCTTTTCTTGTCTTTTACGACAGTGTACTTCTACTACTGAGCCTCTCGTGGGACGCACAAGGACAGGAGACTCTGGCTTTGTGTGAACTCAACCCCTCCTTCTCTCCCCACCAATGCCTTTCATTGAATCCACAGTGTGTGTGTGCAGTCATTGACGCAGTGCCTCTCCCTCCCTTTGTCTGTCACTGCATTTCTTTGTACCTCTCTTGAGTGCTTTGCAACAGTGCCCGAGCTTACTCAAAAACTCCTTCGGTTAGGAATATCTACTCATGTTTTTAGATTAGAGAATGTGTTGGCCCTTTTCAGGCCCCCCAAAAAAGTGATGCAATAATATAGGTTTGTAGCGCTGGTCCAAATGAACCCCTGAATAACTAAAGAGGGAAAATGAAACGCAAAGATCAGTTAAGATTGAGTTTAGGATCGAGTCATGCATTTATGCATAGAAGCCAAAGTGTACTATTTTACCCAGAAACAACTGCTGTGGTCTTATCCCTACAGTATTAACAAAGTGCATCTGCAATGAAAAATTAGTAGTAAAGTAAAAATGATATACACAATTTTTTTTTTTTTAGCCCTTCTTCATATATAGATTCCTAGCAGCAACTTGTTTTCACTTCTTAATATGGATCTTTAAAAACCTGAATGATTTACGGTATTACCTCAATGATGAGGTAAAGACCATGTGTATTAAATGTCTGATCTAGGATGTTAACTCCTTCTATATCATAATGTAAAACATGGTGCAATTTTTATAATTGATTTTAAGATTTAAAACGTTTAAAAAATATGAGAAAGATTATAGGATGTTTCACTTCATACTTAAGCGTCTGCAGTCGACTTAAGGGGAATCACAAATCGTCACTTTTGCTCTTTGATGTTATGTCTTTGACATTATAGTCAGCCAGAAGATCAGTTGAGTTTGGAGGAAAAAACAGGGATGATAAAAGATTTGGCGTAAAATGAAGATTGAATGTTACATCAGCGACCACATTATAAAATATTTTTGATTTAAATATTTTTTTCTATTTATATGTTCAAGATTATTGTGATGCAATTAAATGCAATTTATTTGATATATTTAATGCCATTAAAAAAAAAAAAGAATTTTTTTTTGATCCTGATCATATTAACCCCTTGCACCTCCTGACTTTACTGGCACCATGATGTCTTTGGGCTGAAAGAATAACTGCTGATATGCAAACTGAAAGAGAAATGATAATGTGACTAGTTTAACGTATTTGTAAATATTTGGGATTCAGTGTGGGAGCAGACACCTTATCAGCACTGGAGACGACAATGTTCAGGGATGTACCTCTGCATGTGTTTGTGTAAAATATACATGGGCACTTTAACCACCTTCATTATAGTGATTGTAGGTTTAACTGGACATTTTTGGGGTATTACGGACATATTGTCCAGCACCTAAAACTATGACAATTTGCTCTTGTTGATGTGGAATTTAATGCAAGATCATTATGTGTGAATAATATCTCCTACATTCAGCATTAACCCAAACTGCAAACCTAATGCAGGGCAGTGAATGTTATTCCCTTAAAAAAAACTGACTACATTGTGTTTTATGCAACCTATTCATTTGTAAATACGCGCTGCAGAGATGCATAAAATAACAGTTCCTGTCCCTGAGCATTTGGAGCCAAGCTGCTAACTCGTGGTTCATTTTAAAGCATGTCTGCTTGCCCACCATGTGCTGATTCTAATAAAATGCTGATGCTGTTTCTCGCTCCTCCCCTGTGTAGTTTTTTTTTTTTGTGTGAGCGGGTGGGAATACGGAAGCAAAGTTACCTTTGAAAAGAGAGTTGGAACAGTTCGCATCACATGCAACTGTAGTAAATGAAGAGCACAAGAAGACTTGGTGAATATGGTATGATTTAATCGGTTATTAATCTGCAACAATGCTCATCCAAATCACAAAGTGAAATGAATCATACAAAGCGGTGATACAGAAATGTTTCGTACTACAGCACAAACGAGTAACCTAATTAGGAAGCGTGTACATGAAATGCACTTAATGTCTATTGAACAATCATGTCTGAACAGTAACTGTCTTATTAACATGAAAGAACATTTCTAGATGCAAGTTCTCAGCTAAAACAATCTGTTTTCAGCATCTACTGGTACATACAGATTAAAGCTAAATCATACATGAAAATTAATCAAGACAAGATCTACGGTTTATAGCAAGAGAAGTCTACGCTTTTACACAAACTAAAATCAAGGAGAGAAAAAAAAAACGGTTACATGAGAAAAAGTTCAAAAAGACGGGAGCAACAAGAAATGTATATAAAAAGCCAAAAATGATATGAAAAAAAAAAAAAACAGGACCCAT